ATATAGTTTAATGATAACTTTTACTTCAACCAAATAATAGTTGCCATTTTGGCAACCACATCTTAAATTAGGATAGCATCCAATCTTATGCTTAGTCTTTAAAAGAAAAAATCCTTAAATGCAAACTCAAAGTTTACATGCACATCAGTGCCTTCACCAACTGTTCATTTTTCAGTTTCATGGGGAAGTGGTCCTTCCTGGGTAGGAAGACTCTTCTTGAGCAGCCTGAAAGGTTCACTCCCAAAATTTTTCCTTCCTAAAGCTGAAGAGTAGCCTTCCCTGTACATTTTTGTTGAGAACTTTAGGAAACACAAGCACAACAAAATGACTTAATGTAGTTAATAAGTAGGATGTTTTTACTGGGGAGAAATAGAAGTTGCAAATTAAAGTTAAAAAATCCAGTTAAAGCTCATGACAATAAAAAGACTGGACACAATATTTAAGATGCCTCAAATCTATCAGTGAATAAATGTACTAATATAAACTCATTTGAAATGCTAGCTTACCTCTTCTTCCAAACGAGAAAGTTTGAGTTGTAGGTCAGCCACTTGTTGTTCTTTATCCATCAGCTTTTCACTTGAAAGCTGTCTCTGTTCCTTCAGCCTACCATGAGCTTCCCCTAGCTGGCGCTCTGTCTCCAGAAGCTTGCTATGTAACTTTAGAAAAGGAAAAAAAGCATATACATATGTATAAACCACACACACACCACTACTACCAACTACTTTCCAAACAATGTTTTATTTTTCACTAATATAAACATAATATATTTTCACGATACTTTGGAGGACCCTAAAAAGCCAATTGAATTTTAATCACATAAATTATGATGAACCACATATAATTTGATCAAACACCCTAGTTTTCAGGAGGTGTGCCCTCTTGAAAAACAAAAACAAAAAAATAGTGAAACAGAGCCTCTTGTTAAGTATTGTAATCACTTGAAGAACTTAAAATAATAAAATGAAACTTAAAATTAAGACACTTAAGGAGTTCCAGTCAAGATGGTGGAGTAGTAGGACCATGAGCTTTCCAGAAGTTTGCTATGTAACTTTAGAAAAGGAAAAAAGGGGAAAAGGCTCTCCAACAAAACCACAACTGACTACTGAACAACCATAGGGGGGGCAGGGGGTAGACTGGAAACTTGCAAAACAAAAAAGATCCTCTTCAACTGGAAACATAAAGAGGGAATCTCAGCAGGATAGTAGGAGGGGTGTGCTTGCAATATAGTCGGGCCCATATCCCCTGGGTGGCCAGTCCACAAGCTGAATAATTAAGATGCAGAGTCTCTTCCACAGGAATGAGAGTTCTGAGCCCCACAACAGGCTCCCCAGCCCAGAGTTCTGGCATTGGGAGGAGTCGTCTCCAGAATATCTGGTTTTGAAAGCCAGTGGGACTTAACTCCAGGAGCCCCACAGGACTGGGAAAAACAGAGACTTCACTCTCTTGGGAAGCGCACACAGAATTTCTCATGTGCTGAGTCCAAAGGCAGAGGCAGTGACTTCACAGAAACCTGGGCCAGACCTGCCTGCTGATTTTGGAAGGTCTCCTGGTGAGGTAGGGGGCAGCTGTGGCTCACCCTAGGGACATAAAAGCTGGTGGCAGGCATTCCAGGAGTGTTCATCTATATGAGCTTTCCTGGAGGCTGACATCTTGCATGGGTCATAGCACCAAGACCTAACCCCACCCAACAGCCTGTAGGTTTAAGGGCTGGGAAGCCTCAGGCCAAGCCACATACTGAGTAGTAACGCAGCCCCACCCATCAGCAGGCTTTTGGGAGTCCACAGCTGCCTCTGGGCACACCCCTAGGCAGGGACCTACCCACCTGAGGGCCAGGACCAAGCTCCATCCAACAGTGGGAAGGTACCTACTCCTTCGGCCAGGTAACTTGGATAAGCATTTGCCCAGCCTCATCCACCAGAGGGCACATACAAGAAATACGAAAACAATCCCAAAGCCTGTGGAAGGAATCTGCAATCACAGGCCAGACTTTACCCTGGGACCTACTGGACCAAGGCCCTTGGGTGACAAGAGAAAAGTGTACCGCTTGGATGCACAGGACATCTTCCACAGAGGGCCGTTCTCCAAGGCTGAAAAACATAATTGATCTACCTAAAAATATAAAGTTAGACTATATGAGGCAACAGAGGAGTATCTTCCAGGCCAAGGCACAAGATAAAATCCCAGAAGAAATAAGTGATAAGGAGATAGGCAATCTATCTGAGAAAGAGTTCAGAGTACTTAATGATGGTGAAGATGTCCAGAGAACTCAGGAAGAGTACAGATACACAGAGGGAAGTTTTTAGCAAAGAATTAAAAAATATAAAGAGTGCCCAAACAGGGTTGAATACAATTACTGAAATGAGTAACAGACTAGAAGGAATCAAGAATAGAATAAATGAAGCAGAAGAACAGATCAGTGAGCTAGAAGACAAGATTAGTGGAAATCACTACCACAGAACAGTAAAAAGAAAAAAAAGAAAAGAAATGAAGATGGTTTAAGAACTCTGGGACAACATGAAGCACACTAATATTCACATTATAGGGGTTCTAGAAAGAGAAGACAGAGAGAAAGGACCTGAGAAAATATTTATGATAAAAACTCTAACCAAAGTGGTTATAGAGGGAACATATCTCAATATAATAAAAGCTATGACAAACATACAGCCAGCATAATATTCAACAGTGAAAAGTTGAAAGCCTTCCCACTAAAATCTGGAACAAGACAAGGATGCCCAGTCTCACCACTTCTATTCAATATAGTACTGGAAGTCCTAGTCATAGCAATTAGACAAGGAAAAAAAATAATAAAAGGGGTCCAAATTGGAAGAGACAAGGTAAAATTGTCATATATGCAGATGACATACTATATATAGAAAACTCCAAAGGCTCCATGCAAAAACTAATAGAGCTGATAAAAGAATTCAGCAAGGTATCAGGATATAAGATTAACATACAGAAATCAGTTGCATATCTTTATACTAACAATGAAATATCAGAAAAGGAAACTAAACAATCCATTTTAAAATTGCATCCAAAAAAATAAAATACTTAGGAATAAACCTGACCAAGGAAAAGAAAGACTTATAAACAGAGAACTACAAAACACTGACTAAGAAAATTAAAGATGACTTAAAGAAATGGAAAGATATCCCATGTTCTTGGATTGGAAGAATTAATATTGTTAAAATGGCCATACTACCCAAAGCAGTATACAAATTCAATGCAATCCCTATCAAATTGACAATGACTTTTTTTTTTCAGAGCTGGAACAAAAAAATATTAAAATTTGTATAGAAACACAAAAAACCCTAAATAGCCAAAATAGTCTTGAAAAAGAACAGAGCTGGAAGAATCACACTGACTTCAGACTATACTACAGAGCAACAGTAATCAAAACAGTATGATACTGGCACGCACACACACACACACACCCCCCAATGGAACAGGATAGAAAGTCCAGAAATAAATGCACGCACTTATGGTCAGTTAATCTATGACAAACGAGGCAAGAATATACAATAGAGAAAAGACAGTCTCTTCAACAAGTGGTGCTGGGAAAACTGGACAGCTACCATGTAAAAGACTGAAATTAGAACATTCTCTAACACCAAAATGGATTAAAGACTTAAATGTAAGACCAGATACTATAAAACTCCTAAAGGAAAACATAGGCAGAACACTCTTGGACATAAATCATAGCAATATTTTTTTCAAACCAGTTTCTAGAGTAATGGAAATAAAAACAAAAATAAACAAATAGGATCTAATAAACTTTAAAAGCTTTTGTACAATTAAGGATACCACCAACAAAATGAAGACAAGCTACAGAAGGGGAGAAAATATTTGCAAATGATATGACCAACAAAGGATTAATTTCCAAAATATGCAAACAGCTCATACAGCTTAATATCTAACAAATAAGTAACCCAATCAAAAAATGGGATGAAGATCTAAATAGACATTTCTCCAACAAAAACATCCAGATGGCCAACAAGCACATGAAAAGATGCTAAACATCACTAATTGTTAGAGAAATGCAAATCAAAACTACAATGAGGTATCACCTCACACTGGTCAGAATAGCCATCATTAAAAAGTCCACAAATGATAAATGCTGGAGATGGTGTGAAGAAAAAGGAACCCTCCTACATTGTTGGTGGGAATGTAAATTGGTGCAGCCACTACGGAGGACAGTAGGGAGATTCCTCAAAAAACTAAAAACAGACTTGCCATATGATCCAGCAATCCTACTCCTACACATATATCCAGAGGAAAATTTAAATTAAAAAGACACATGCACCCCAGTGTTCACAGCATCACTATTTACAATAGCCAAGACATGGAAACAACCCTAATGTCCATCAACATGACTGGATAAAGAAGATGTGTGATGTGGTATATATGTACAATGGAATAGTACTCAGCCATAAAAAATGCCATTTGCAGCAACATGGATGGACCTGGAGATTGTCATTCTTAGTAAGTCAGAAAGAGAAAGAAAAATACAATATGATATCACTTATATGTGGAATCTAAAAAAAAGGACACAAATAAACTTATCTACAAAACAGAAGACTCACAGACATAGAGAACAAGCTTACGGTTACCAGGGGGTAAAGGGGGTGGGAAGGGATAAACTGGGAACTCAAAATGTCTACCTCTTGGGGAGTACTGGAAATACTAGCTATTTTGATTGTGGTAGTGGTTTTATTGGTACATACAGCTATCAAAATTCATCAAATTGTTCATCTGAAATATGTGTAGTTTACTGTACAGGAATCTTACCATAATAAAGGTGTTAAAAAAAATTAAGACACTTAAGACACACTCAGACCTATTCCACTGTCTTTTTTTTTTTTAAATCCACAGTGATTCTTGTTTTTCCATAGTTAAGAACCACCACAACTGACTTCTTACATCTGTGTACTGAATAGAGCACAAAGGATTCCCAAGTCCTCAAACTGGCAACAATTTCTAAATAAAATGGGGGAAAGAATATTTTCTGAAAATATTAGGTGAGTCTCATTCATTAAACAAAAATTGCCACCTTGTTAAAACTAAAGGAGAAATTTGTCTTGTAGCTAAGAACTATCACTTTCTCAAATTTCTTATTTTCTCTAATATTACCAGAAATAATAGCTGATTTCTCTTGTGGGGTTGATTGGGGGTGGGTTTACTTTAAAAAATGTTTGTATTAATTTTAGAAGAATTAGTGTACAAGTGCTGGGAATGCAGAACAAAAAAGAGTTGCATGGAGATAAGGATGCAAGACTTCTGGTAAGGCTTACATATTAAGAGTGCTTTACACCCCAGCCTCATAACATAACAAATCAGATCTTAGCAAGAGCCTCAGCAAAAGTGAGAATTAGTAATAAGCATTCTACACAACTGCTTTCAATTAAAATTATTCTTGTTAAATCGGAAAATATTAAGACTCTATAACCTTTGTGTCATATATACCCTTATATATGCTCCGTACTTATGTATTTCTCCATAAAAATTCATAGTTGGCAAGGGAAAAAATAAAATTCTATCAGAAAAGTGGACATCCACAGGGGGAATTACAATAAATAAAATTAATAGCTCTTACTTGATTAATTTCACTTTGGAGTTGTAACCCATGCTGTTCCTTTTCTTCTCTCTGTTGTTGTAGTTGTTTAAATTCTGCCTTAAGATGCTGGTACTTGGTCTCCACTTCTGACAGTTCTTCCTTGAGCTTTTGAGTAGCTTCTCCCTTTTCACCTAGTTCTGCCTGTATTCTCTGCAGAGAGGTTTCAGATGCAGATAACCTTGACTGAAGCTGTTGATAATCTAAGTCTTTCTGATGAAGGCTTGCTTGTATATTCTTTTTACTCACACATTCTTCATTATGTTTCTCCTCTAACTGAGTATAGTCCAGTTCTTTGTTCTGCAACTTTTCAGTCAAGTCCTGAAATATCAATTTAACAATGTATTTCTTTTCCTAATACTTTCAATTATTCTAATTATTCAAACAATCTTTAGAGCAGTATCATTTCGTACTAAATGTTTTAGTCATTATTACAATACAAAAACAGTGAAACTATTCAACCAAGAATTAAATTATTACATACTAACTTATGATTTTATTATTGGTCCACTTGACTAAGCTCTTATTACTAGTGTAATAAGAATTACTAACAAAATTTTGACATAAAATGAAAACACTAAAATCTACTAACTAGACTCTTTAAGGTATGCAAAATATTGACATTCTCTCATTTGAGTTAAAAATTAAAACTACTCCTCTATCATCAAAAATTGTTTTACATAACAATATACTACAGCAATTCTGATTTTTGGCTTTACAATTTCATAGTTGGTAAGAGTTTTACATAACAATACCATTCACTGCTGTAGTATGCCTGATTCTACTGATTCCTAGTTTTTGCTCTTCTTAACAAACACTATTTTTAAGAGTCACCAGTTTAAGAGTAATTCAGAGTTCTTTCTAGGTATGTAAAAACAGTGATCTAAAAATTTCACTAACCTATCTCATGTTTTGTTATTTTACTCAGTACTATCAAGTATAAAGTATAAAAACTGACACCTCCAATCAATGATCTGGATCAGTCAGCCTAATCAAATGTCAAAGTCTGGTCTTAGTGGAGTTGTTACAATTAACATTGAACATTTTTAAGTCACCATATGTACACATAAGGTCTGAATCAGAATTTTAACTCAATTCTGTAACAAAGATAGCCAGGATAAGAAGCCACGGTAAGCACCTGATGAGTCAATCATGGACATTTATAATGCTCACTTTTTATATGCAGTGTGCTAGAAGGGGATACTACAGATGTAGTGGAGGACAAGCAAAGCCTCTGACCTTTAAACAGACTAATCTAAATGAAACACACATATCAAAAAAAAAACTTTTCTAACAAAGTTGAAACATAATGCATAGGCAAAAATAGATTAATAGAAGAGCTGTGTTAAATTTCTTGACTATACAGTCTTAAATAAAATGAGTAAAGTTGAGTGGGACTAACTAGTAAGTTAAAAATCACATGAAAATAAACTTTTAACTTGGTAAAGTGGTGAGAAGAGTTAAGCAATAGGTATACATGATTCATGCTATCTGCTCTATACAAGAAGAGATAAATAGATAAAGTCACAAAGGAACAAACAAGTTGCATGAGGGAAAATAGCAAATGCTATTTATTACCTCAAGGGGAGTAATAAGTCTAGGTACCAAAGTAGCAAAGGCAGCAGTAATGATTCTTGAACACCCGTCTGAGAAGTTCGTTAATATAAATTACCAAGTAGGAATATACTATAGAAAAAGCAATGTCAGAAAGATGATATAAGTATATACATAAGAAAGAGAAGATGGGAGACAAAGTAAAAAGAACAACCATAAATTCTGGGCAAAATTAGCAGAGATGTGTCTTGACCAACCAACAGAAACAGAAAAAAAGAGAGCCAAAAGACTAGAGAAAAAAATAGTAATTTTGAGTCAATCTGTATATTAGGAAAATTCTTTTTTTATATAAACATTTGTGTCTTGTTAGTAACTCCACATCTTTGACATAATTTTATACTTAAGAAGATAACATTTATTTTAGAATTCGTAAGCTAAATCTATTCATTGATCATTATAGATATCTTGTATCTTTTTGAAGAAAAGTCCAAGTTACTAAATTTTATGAATGCAATCACACTAATACTGAGAACTTGGGTGGGATATAACTTTTTTTAATGCTACTAAAATTAAGGCTAGTAATGAGGTAGTAAGTCTTCTTCCCCATAGGCTTAAAGTAACCAAGTAATCCCACTAGTTCTACACATAATCCCTCAGACAGCTCTGCTCTTTAAGAAGCAAAAAATACATAACAACCACTGACTGTTTAAAATTCACTTGCCTAAAAAATTAATCAAAATCTTCCTGCTTTACTGCACAGATGAGAGCTAATTAAATTTTATTTAAAAGAACGTAAATCACTTACTTTCTTTTTAAAAGAAACTAATCCACTCACATTATGTAATTTTTACATGCAAAAGGCTAACTGAATTTAGTATTACAAACTTTTCATTCTCATTATCATCTTCCCATAGAATCTGAAGCAAAAAGTATAGTGAGAACATGGTTTTTGAAGATTGATTTTTTTAATGCAGTAGAATCCATTAAGGAAATCAATAATTGCACATTCTCTTCTCTATATCAATCCTTACAACAAAAAATGAGATAGACATTATCATCCCCATTGTATGGATGAAGAAGCTAAAGTCAAAAGCTTGATATGACTTGGCCAGGTGGCAGAGTCACGTATTATGATTCTAAGTCCAGTAAACTTTCCACAACACAATTCAGACACTCAGTGAGTCAATTCATGCTCCTCCAAACTTATACTATTCAAATTTAAAATATAAAATGAATGTTAAGATTGGTTTATAACAATTATCATTTGAGTAGGCAAAAGTCTTCCCTTCTGAATGTCCAGTCCTCTTTTGATTTCCTCACCAATTGTTCTTTCAACATATTTTCTTACAGAGACAATTTCCCCGTATTAGCCTCTATTATCCACTTGTTACTAGCCAGGTAATGAGAAGAAATGCAAAAAGAATGGTATTTTTTATAGCTTGAGAGCTTACAGAGTAGTTTCAGGGATCTCATTTGTTCCTCAAAACAGCTTTGTGAGAAAGAACAAATTAACTATTTGTAGCTCTCCAACATCTTGTATTTTGTGCTCTTACATGTTCCCATGCCTTCTATAGATACATCTATCTCTAAAATGAAATGCCATTAACCCCTCTGCCACATGATATGCTCCTTAGCATCCCTAAAGACTAAGCTAAATAAAGTTGTCTTCTACAAACACCTTTCCTGATTTACTAGTCAGAAAGATAGAAAAACATCCACCGTGGTCTTGATCCAACTCGGCATCATGACACTTCCAAATAAAAACAGTGACAACAAATATTCATTGAGGTGTTTTCTAAAAGCCAGACACTAGTCTAAGCACTTTAACATCTATTAATGTATTCAATACTCACATCAATCCTAAGAGGCAAATGGATATAACAGTACTTCTTAGCAGAAGAGGAAACAGACTTTAAGAGGTTGTGTGTCACAACCAGTTAGTGGCAAAGCTGAGATTTAAACAGGCTTTTGACCACTGTACTATTCTGTTCATATCAGTATACCACTTGGCAACACAGGGATAATACACAGCGATACAACTACTTGCCACATCTGGCTCTTGCTCTGGCCTATGAGCACCTTAATACTGGGACCTCTGGAAAGTGGAGAGCAATGAAGAATGGAAAATGGGTAAGAGGTGTAACCTAGAAAACAGTCAGTCTCTTACAGTGACCCATATTAATCACATTAGTAGCTTTAAATAAACATATGATTTTGTTCAGAATCATACAGAAATAGTTAAACTAAGCTGCAGAATTGTTTAAATGTCAGAATATGATTCTTATTAGAAACTAAGAAGGAGGCTCCCTCAATAGTCCTCTCGTTTTTAAGTTTTCAAAGTCAGTAATTAAAAAAACACTGGCTTAATGCTGAGAACTTGACATTAACATAAAAGCAACTATTTTTCCCATTCATTATATTTTAAAATGTAATCTATCCACCCTGATGCTGCCTATGACCCACAAAAGCTGCCAAGGCATTTCATGTAATAGCCTTCCAAAGACCAAGCATAGAGATTTCCAAATTTACAACACTTGGTTATCACCACTGTCAACAATTATGATTTGTCAAGGACAAAGGGTGAGGAGTGGCGAGGGAGGCAGATAGCAAAAATTAAAAAAAAAAAAAAAAGAGAGAGAGAGAGCGATAGATGCACCTCTCTGCTTGCTCTTGCTCTAACTGGTGAAAAAAATCCTAAGCAGGAAAACACTTTGAAAAAAAATTGTCAAGTATTACACTTATGTAAAGATTATTAAGATTAGTAGAAAATCCTCTTATCCCCTAATAAAAAATTCCATTTTTACCACACTAAACCATCTTGATTCCCTGTAGTACTCATAAAATAGACAGAGTACTTCCTTTAACAGTGTGTGTGCACGTATGTAGGCATGTGTGAATATATATATATATATATATGATGTTTGTTTCATTACCTTTATTAACGGTTTGATGTTTCAGAAATACATAACAAACTACACTGATCATAAACATCTGCTGCAGGTACACATCTGGCCAACTTCCAAGAGGCAGAAGGTCAACTCTAATCTCAAAAGAAATTAAAAATCAAACTGAGGGACAAAGATAAAACTAAAGTATATGCAGATGTTTTCTACATAGAGTTTGACAGGAGAAAAAAGGAGGGACAGGGAGGCAGGGAGGTTTTTATAAGCCATAAAAAGATTAAATTTTAAAAACAAGTCAGCACCAAGTGTTGATGGAGAAATAGAAAATGGTAAACTAGTATAATTACTTTGGAAAACAGTTTGGGATCACCTAGTAAATATGAGTATGTATGTAGCCTGTAGCCCAGCAATTTCACATGAGAGTACATAACAATTTAAGTCCTGCACAAATGCATGAGATTTATGTGTGAAAGTTCATAGTTGCAGTATTTGTAACAAGAAAAAAGAAAAACTGTGTGAAAAAATAGGAAGTATATATATCACTTTGGCTGCATACCAAAGAATAATATAATTGTCACATAGAAAAGCATTTATGCAACTGAGCTAGTTGCTTTTTTCCTTGAAACGCTATTTTAACTGGAAAGAATCACAGACAAACTATGATTATTCAGACTTGGGTAGGAAAAGAATATGTCATTTCAAAGAATAGAAGTGATCCTGTTGGTTGCCAATGATAAAATTGAAGCTTCAAGATGAAGCTTAGAATTTTGGAAAATTTGTATCTACCACCATAAGCTTGACACTTCCTTATACTTAAAGCCTATACTGAGATTGATGGTGATATTGACAAATGTGACTTGTTTTATACTGTACAATGAACTATTCAATATTTGGGAAATCTGCATAACTCAGTGAACCAGTATTTTTCACATGACTAATGCATTATGTTATAAAAATCATGCATAGGAAAGATCTATTCAAAAGGCAAGACAGAGGAATGAATTTCAGTGTTACAAAGTACAAAAACTGCATTGATATGGTTTCAGAATCTACACTGCAACTAACTTTTGAGAAACTATACCTTATCTAATTTCAGTACAATATCAAATAAAAATAGCTACAATTATCTGAAAAGGCTATTTAGTCCTCCCTTTTCCAACTACATCTGTGTAAACCTAAGTTTTCTATGCACACTTCAACCATATCACAACAGATTAAATGATATAAGCAGATATAAGAATCCATCTGTCCTGTATTAGCTAGACATTAAAGAGGATTGAAAAAATGTAAACTACCACCATATTTTTTATATTGGAAAATAGACATTTTTAATAAGAAATGGTATTTATGTTAATATTTAATGGTTACTGTTTTCTAAATAAATTAATGAACATATATTTTTAATTTATTTTAATTTCTGACATAATTGTCCATAGATGCAACCAAAAAAATAAATAAATAAAAGCTCTTTGGGGTTCATGACATTTTTGAGAATGTAAAGCAGTCTTGAGATCAAGAAGTTTGAGAAATACTGTGCAAGGGCACAAGCAACAAATCACCCCAAAACTTTTTAGCTGAAAATTTTATCTATTATCTCACAGATTTTCTGAGGGTCAGGGAATTCAGAAACTGCTTAGCTGGACGGTTCCACCTCAAGGTCTCTCTTAGACTATAGTAAGCCATGGGCCAGAACTATAGTCTCTGAAAACTTGACAAGACTTGGAGGATGTGCTCCCAAGTTCATTCACCTGGCTGTGGCAAGAAGCTTACTATTTACAACCAATTATTCTCATCTCTTTTTCCCTTCTACCATGTTATTTTCTGTCTTGATTTTTCCTTGTTATATTTCATCAAAATACTAGGTTCAACTTATTAAAGCAAAGCCAACAAATTCACCATACCCTTGAGTAAAAAGATTTAATAACTCCCTATTATTCCACCAACAAAAAAGTAAAGACATGGGGGGAAAAAGTATTAATACCATGCCTGCCCTGCCTCCAAACTAAATATTATCTGTTGCTCATCTTTAAAGAAACAAAGTGGAAAATATTAACATTACAAAAAATACAGAATAAGAACAAAGTTGGAGGTCTCACACTTCCTGATTTCAAAACTTATTAAAAGCTACAGTAGTCAAAACAATGTGGTACTGACATTTAAAAAGACATCTAAACCAACAGAATAAGAATAGAGAACCCAGAAATAAATACTCACACATGGTCAAATGATTTTCAACAAGGGTGCCAAGACCATTCAATAGAAAAAAGGACAGTCCTTTCAACAACTGGTGCTAGGAACACTGGATATCCAAATACAAAAGAAAGAAACTGAACCCTTACCTTATGCTGTAAAAAATTTTTCCAAAATGGATCAAAGATCTAAAACTACAAAACTATTAGAAGAAAACAGGTGAAAAGCTTCATGACAAAATTTGGCAATGATTTCTTGGATATGACACCAAAAACATGGCAAGAAAAGTAAAAACAGATAAATTGGATTAGATCTAAAACTTCTGTGCATCCAAGGTGCGATACTTTAAAATATACATTTGGTCCTGGTCCCCATTTCTGGAACCGGGCTCCTAAAACCCTAGGAATTTCCTATGTGATAAGAGCACATTGCTATTCATAACAAGCCCCCTTCAGCCACCTATGAGTTTTTATTAATGAGGTGATTCTTTAGAAAGCTCTAAGGATGGGGGCTGGTGCTAGGGGCACCAAACTTGAAGGAAGGGTTGAACTTTTAGCCCTACCCGCTCCCCATGGAGAGAAGAGGGGCTGAAGGTTGATTTGATCACCAACAGTCAGTGATTTGATCATCTGTGCCTATGTAAAGAAGGAAAGAAATTTGAGAGATTTCAGGTTGATGAACGTGTGGCGAGCTCCCAGAGAAAGCATGGAAGCTTCATATACTTTCCCACATATCTTGCCCTATGCATCTCTTCCATCTGGCTGTTCTTGAGTTATAGTCATTTATAACAAACCAGTCATGTAATAAGTAAAATGTTTTCCAAGTTCTGTGAGTCACTCTAGCAGATTAATTGAACCGGAGGCAGAGGCCTGGGAACTTCCCATTTATAGCCAGTTACTCAGAAGTACAAGTAACAAGATGGACTTTGAACTGGTGTCTGAATTGGGGTGTGGGGAAGGTACGGGTGCTCAGGCACAGTCTGGTGGGACTGCACCCTTAATCTGATGCCAGCTCCAGGTAAATAGTGTAAGAATTGAGTTAAACTGTCGGACACCCAGCTGGTGTCGCAGAATTGTTGATATACAGAACACCCACACATCTGATGTCAGATGTGAAGTTGTAGTACAGTACTGAGAGTAGAGAAGACACACAGGAGTGTTTTTCCTTTACAAAAAGACACAATGAACAGAGTGAAAAGGCAACCTAAAGAATGAGAGAAAATATTTGCAAAATCATGTATCCAATAAGGGATTAATATCAAAAGCATATAAAGGACTCCTACAACTCAACAAAAATACAAACAACCCAACTAAAATTATATGGCCAACAAGCATATGAAAAGATGCTCATCAACCTAATCACTAGGGAAATGCAAATCAACCATGATGAGATACCACCTTAACACTCATTAAGATGGCTACTATAAAAAAAAAACAAAAACAAAAATAAACAGAAAATAACAAATTCTGGCAAGGATATGGAGAAACTGTTGAATCCTTGTACACTGTTGATAGGAATTTAAAAGGATACAGCCACTATAGAAAACAGTACGGTGATAGCCTCAAAAAATTGAAAACAAGTACCATCTGATCCAGCAATTCCACTTCTGGGTATATACCCAAAAGAACTGAAAGCAGGGTCTCAAACAGATATTTGTATACCCGTGTTCAAAGCAGCGCTATTCACAATAGCCCAAAGAAGGAAGCAATCCAAGTATCCATCAACAGATGAATAGCTAATATGACATACACATACAATGTAATATTACTTATCCTTAAAAAGGTAGGAAAATCTGATACAGGCTACAACATGGATGAACCTTGAGGACATTATTCCATGTGAACTAAACCGGGCACAAAAAGACAAATACTGTGATTCCACTCATATGAGTTACTTAGAATAGTAAATTCATAGATACAGAAAGTAAAAAAGGTTTGGGTCAGGGGAGACAGTGAATGAGGAATTGTTTAATACTGTTTAATGAGTATAGTTTTAGTTTTCCAAGATGAAAAGAGTTCTGGAGACAGGTTGCATAACAATGTGAATGTATGTAATATTAAAAAAAAAACTTAACTCACACTGTACTGTGCCAATATATAAATAACATACACAAGATTAAAATTTAAGATATATAAAATCACTTCCCCATTATATATAGTTTTTAAATTCTCACCTGATTTTTTTGTGTTAATTCATTAACTGAACTTTTAAGTTTCTGTAGTTCCTGCACATAAACAGCAACTTCCTGGGGGCCTTTGGCAAGTTCACTTCTCAGCTGGCTTATTGTGGCCTAAAAAGAAAAAAACAGAAAAAGAAAAAATTAGAGCAAACTAAAATGAAAAAGGAAATGAAAGGTTTTAAGATTCCATAGATTTTTGTCATTGTTGTTGTTAAATTGAAATAATCCTTAGAAATTTCAACTTGGTTCTTTATCTTACCACCCTCTACTGCCACCCTACAACTTCTTTGACTGAAAATTAATTTTTAAAATTTATCCAAAATGAACAACTTTATTTAATAATACAGGAAGTGAAAAGTTGACATCCTATTTTATTTGTCTGAAGCAAGCACCAAACTGCAAACTTGAATTTACTGGCTTTAAACTCTATACTTTAATCCTGAATTTAAAAAGGATATGCAAGTCATGCCTGTATTTTCTCCCAACTTCTATAGCATAGCCTTTTCTTTTTACTTCAAAATCACGTTAAATGCAAACAACCAACACAGAAACACCTTTAAAGGCGGTGAATCATCTTTTTCACTGTAATTGAAAGTATTTGTCCATAGAAGTTATCAAACAGAAATTATATGTAGTTTCACTAACCTGGATCACACTATGATCATGGATAATAGCTGGACATGAATTTGCTTTAATACATTTTAACATTTTTAAATAAAATTAATGTCTATTATTAAAACGATGATTTGATCATTTAGTAAATAATATAAGAGGAAGATAAGCAAAGATCTTGGAAATACAAACTTTCTATACATGAAAGCTTTAACCACTATACAGACTAAATACTGTTTTTAAAGTATGGTTTCCTACAACTGAAAAGAACTTTATATTTCTAATTCATTGTTTACATTGTTAGTAAATAAACTTTATAATATGAATATGGTAAACTTTTTAAAAAATTTTAACAAATACATCAGCAGTTACAAATGAGTACTTTCATCTTCAAGGGGGAAACCTTAGAAGGCTACTAATTTATTTTAAAAATAATGCCAAAAGATCTTTTGCTATTTCTTTTGGAAACCCTTTCAGAATGCATGGCACCTTTTTTCTTTTTAAAGATTCTCACTAGTGACAAAACCAAATCCACTATAAATGGATGAATATGTAAGTTTTAGAAACAAACTAGTAAACAAGGTAGGTGAACTGAATGATCAAACACTTGGGTTTATCTTATTTAATAACCATAAATTAATGAAACTAGTTTTCTGAGTGTTTTCCCAACTGGTTTAAAGTCAACTAAAAGAGGTTTGAAAATGTTTTGGGGAATGGCAGCATGTCTGAGATATGTTCATGGCCTTACCTTTTATGGAAAATATATGTATAAAAAAAAAATATATATATATATATATATATATCATATATTTCAAACAAGGGAGTGTTTAAATATTCATGTATTTTTAACTGTGTTCAATTTAAAAGTATATCCTAACACCTTCTGTCTTAAAATGGTCATGTATCCTTCACATGGTTATAGGTATTAAGAGTTTACTTCAAATTGCTTTATCTAACAACTCTGAATCTCAGAATCATTTTCTATTAGCAACACTATGGATATTAATAAAAACATTAAAACAATCTGGCTATTTCAAATTACTATGTTTTAACCATGTAACACAAATGCCTACTTATCACACAAGAAAAGAATTTATACTTAAATCCCTACTTGTAAATATCCTATCAAAGGAATGACTAGAGTATCTCGCACATAATAAACAGAAATAATAAACAGTATGTACTAAAGTGCAAATTGAGTATATTTCATTAAAATACCCTGATTCCACTTTAAAGTCTGTAAGATGTAGTAAGCAAACTGTAACATGTCTATCTTGCTGCTAAATTCCAACATGCAGAAGAAACTAAACAAAGAAAACATATCCCAATTTTGTTATTTTTATAGCTTTTAGAAATGTTCTTATACATAATTTTATAATGTATCCTTTGTACACTAAATATGTATTTTTTAAATTGTAATTCATATTTTTAAAAATATAAAAGCAAGAATTTTTTAAAATTTAATTTACTCAAAGAGGGAAAAAAGAAAGATGTGGGAAGAGTATATACCTAAAGGTACATTTTAGCTGTGGGGAAGAGGAGAAATGGGAGTGAATTACAGGAAACATTCACTTTCTCCACTGCACAATATGAATCATTTTAATTTTTTACAATGATCATGTATTATGTTTCTAATTAAGAAAAAATACAGATTGAAGAAAGAGAAAATTTTCAAAGGAAATAAATATATTCACTATTTAGTTATCACTATGGTGAAATTCAAACAAAGAAGATTCAAGCCACACTGACACTCCTTACTAGTTAACAGGCGAAGCTCATCTGTGCCCAGAGGCTGTAACACTTGCATTCCCTCTTCCTGGGAATGCTGCTCCCAATTACTCACCATACTTCTTGCTTACTTCATTCTTTTCCCATGTAACCTCGTTGAGGATATCTTCCTTGATCTTTCTATCTAAAACTGTCCCGTATTACTGCCAGCCCCACTACTGCCTGTATCTTGCTTTATCTTTCTTTATAGCACTTTGCATGAACCGACTTTCTATCATGATTTGGTTTACTTACATATTATTTGGCTAAAGGAAGTTAAGCTTTATGAGAGCAGGCACTCTGTTTAATTCACTCTTGTACTCCCCACACCTAAAATAGTTGCTGGCACTCAGGCATTCAAAACATACTCACTAAAGGGATGAGTGACTCTGTATCCTAGAAGTTAACAAATATTTGTTCCAATGAAAACAGTATATAAGATCCTATAAAATAGCCTGCATTCCCTTGAAGCCATGTTATTGAATTTAACATCAAATTTTACTAGAAAACTATAAATTACAAAAGAATTAAGGAATGATATTTCAAGCAAACATCCTGCTAGTGCTTTAGGATTATAACTGTCGTCCTCAAATTCTACTACTCTTAGCAAATAATTATTTTAAAGATGGTTAAAAGTTTGCTTGGTTAATAAAACAAAAATGAGTATATCTTTGAAGTTCTGATATTGCCTTGAAACACAAAATTTGCCATACGATGAAAGAAGGTGCTATATTAAAAGTATTACTATTATTAAAAGCCTTCCAAAAACACATTACCTCAAGTTTAAGCATCTCCATTAGAAAGCAGAAAAAAAAAAAATGATGGATGAAAGGTGGAAGACTGACAAAAGTACACACTGAACACACGATAAAAAGTCCAAACACACTACTAATCTCTGATCTCTTACACTAGCATACTTATAAAAGATATTCAAATGCTCTTTCATAACTATGCATGAGTGTAATATTACTTATTTTGTATCTTTTTAAACTTTTTAGCTTTAAAAATTAGGACTCAAATGAGTATATTTGGAATAGAAATAAAATTTTTAAAGAATCATTTCCATTAAAGACCACACCAAATAAGCCGATTACCATTTTGATATTTTCAAAAATGCAGATTTTTGGAAATAATACTTTTATTAACCTTTATAGCCTTAATTTCTGATCTAAAGAATAGCTAAGTACTTATAAAGCCCTTTTAAATGCTTTAAAATGAGTTATTTTTCTATATGCCTTTTAAAATATCTGGACCAAAAAAATGAACTGTCTACAAATGCATAAGGTATATTTTCAATGACAGTAATGGAACATATTTAACAATGTACACCAGATTATATATCTTCAGCCTAAACTAGAAATATCAAAATAAACCACTGCATTTTTCACTTCTTTAATTCCTTTTAATGTATTTTGTTTCTGATGTCAATATTTAGGTTCAGTTAAAGCAGTAATATAAAAAATAAACATTTTTTCTATTAAGTTCCTTCAATGCTATAATTTATTAGCATGTTTAACTGAGAATAAGTAGAATGGAATTTTAATAAATTAATAAAATACATGTCATATATTTGAAGAGTAAGCAGAAGCTAAAAGAGTTATAAACAAATAAATGAGATGGAAGATTTAGACGGTAATTTTTTTCATATGGAAATGGTATGAGACACAACTCAAAAAAGGTATTTTAAGCTATATTCAATACAACTGTAACATACAATACGTCAAAATTTAAAAAGTAATAATAATAAGTATTAAGTCAAGATTAATAGCACAAATTTACTTACAAGGCAATCATCAGATCACCTAAAATGGGAGATAACATGATACAAAAAGAACACGGGTTTTGTATACAACCTGGGAACTAATGCTACCTTCTTTATATTAGGTACATGGCCTTGAATGAGTTCTTTAACTTCAATGAGCACAAATTCCCTACACATTAAACAAATTTAGTACTTAACTTACATGGCTAAAACAAACTTAATACTTAACTTACAGGGATAAAAGAAACAAATGAAACCACATATTTAAAGTGCCTAGCATAGTGTCCAAAACCCAAGTGCTCAAAAAGAGTTTGTTTCTAATAACAATATACTGCTCTGACTCTCATGCTACCATTTCCTAAAGCTATTCAAAATATTTCAGCATAATCTGAGGTCTTGATCACTACATACTTATTAACTGAACAGGGAGTAAATAGTATCCTTGTTTTATTAAAAATATGATGAAATATTAAATCAACAATTACTCAGAAAGAACAAATCCCTGTATTTTAAAATTTATTTCAAAACACTTGGAAAGATACATTTTAGGAAAACTTAAAAGAAATTAAAATGTGAAGAATGGATTTCTAAGCCACTTTTCTTCTTTCCCAGAAATATCTTTTCTAGAGAAAAAAATAAATCATTGTTTCCAAACAGACACAGATCCAGAGACAGAAAACAAACTTATGATTACCAAGGGGTATAAGTTGAGATTTTGAGATTTGCAGATACTAACTACTACATATAAAATAGATAAACAAATATATACTGTGTAACACAGGGAACTATATTCAGTATCTTATAGTAACCTATAATGAAAAATATGAAAAGGAGCATATGTATGTATGTGTATGACTGAACATCATGCCAGACTTTGACACCACACTGTAAACTGACTATACTTCAAAAAAAAAACTGGAAAAAAATTAAATTAAAACAAATCATTGTTTCATCACCCATGTTGACAGGCGGACAATGTGGGAAGATACTAAATCCTTTCACCTCAAATCTTTTATATCTAGTTAAAACTTTCTCATCTCTAATGACCTATTCTCATTATATATAAACATATTTTAATCTACATGAATAAAAACAAATTTATAAAAATCCTCCATATTAAATTTAGAGTAATTCTTTTTTGGGGGGGGGGATAATTAGGTTTTTTTTTTTATTTAAATGGAGGGCCTAAGGATTGAACCCAGGATCTTAGGCATGCTAAGCATGCACTCTATCACTGAACTACACCATCCCCTATAGAGTAATTCTTAAGTAAAATATTACTTAGATATATTTTCCCACATATATTTTTCCCAAAATATGTAAGTTTATTCTCTTTGGTCAAATTCTACTTATATAAGATGTATATGTATAACTCCATAATTCTCAGTTGGAAAAGGTCAAAGAGGATTGCACATTAAAATAGATGTATTCTAAAACTACCATTACTGTGATTCAATTTTAGTCACCCTATTACACTTATTTTGAAATTTCAAATAACATTAAAGGAATTTTTTAATCAAAAGAGTGTAACTTTTTTTACTAGTATTTGAGAAATACTAGTAATCAGGCAGATTTAATTAAAAGTAATTGTTATTGAACCACAGAAATAAATGACTAGATTCACCTAGGTTCAAGTATTTCTACTTTAGCATTGTTTCAATCAGGCTTTTCCTCATGAGATTCTTTGATTCAGACTCTCCTTAATTATACATTGGGAGCTTTCATCTGGCTTTGATAAATTCATGAACTCCCTGAAATTGTTTGAAAAGTTGTGAGATTAAATGTCACTGGGCTACAAAGATCACTTTTGGGAAATCTACACCTGAAGTTCATGAAGTCTGAAGTGTTAAGCATCATAAATTCTCACATGCCTATATGTGTTATACCATAAACTTTTACCATTCCCCCATTGATAAGATATAGGAGGAAGTAAACTGAAGAGTGACATACGTTATCTATAATATTTATACTTCATTGGCTTATTAATATGTTACCAATTATGAATAGAGTGGCTTTTAGATCACAAGCTGAAAAACTCTAAGAGATGCAAATTAAAATATTACAGCTTAACTTTTTAAACTGAAAACATGAAAAACAGACATCCACATCACATAAGGGAGCTTAAGAACTGCACACAGTAGTAGTTATAATAAAATACCTCCTATAATACAGTAAAAAAAGAACAAAGGTTAGCATTTTTAAGAGAAATATTTACTACATATCCCAGAGCTTGTCATATACTGACATAATTACATAAGGGATTTACAGGCCAAAGTCATGTGAGCAACAGAAGAAACTGAGAATGTTTATCTTGGAAGAGAGAAAACTCAGAGTAAATATGAATAGTCTTCAAATATTTCATGTGGAAAAGAAGAACAATTTATTCTGTGTAATTCCTGAAAACTGAAACCTGTGCATGCAAATTACAGGGAAACAAATGTCAACTCAATGGAATGGTTGACTTATGAAGAAATATATCACCCAGCAAGAGTTGTAGATCACCTATCAGAGATGCTATAAAGGGGATTCTTGGATGCAGTGTTAGACTAGATGATTTTTAAGACTTCTTTCAACCATATAATTCAATAATTGATTAAAAAAAAGAAGTCTACTAGAAAATAAGATTTTCTTGAATATTTTTTTCTAAATATTGGTAATACAATTGAAGAAAATTAAATCACACTTCCTTTACCCAAACCGAATTTAGATAAATTCAATTAAAACTTATTAACTAGCCTGGAGCAAATTTAACTTTAAATATCATTTCTCCACAATATACCATTTGTTAAACAGAATAATACTCTTTAGTGCAAACATTCGTCTCTAAGTTTCTAGCTTCATAAAACAAAAATCAAAAATACTATCAAACCATACTGACTATATACAAATATTACTCAGACCAAATGAAAGAAAGGCAAATACTGTTTGATAGGTCTTCAGAGAAAAATCTCAAATCCTGGCTTTACTCAACAGTATACACTGAACAAGTTAACAATAATCTCATTTAAGTGCAGTGAACTTCATTACCTCTGAGTTAGCATACTCTGTTTGCAACTTTTTGCATTCATCTTTGAGTTTTTCAGATTCTTTCTCACGTTCCAAGGTCATGTTATCCATTAGCGTTTGAACTTGGACCAGTTCTTTCTTTAGCACGGCAACATCTTCTATACCAGGTCTCTGAAGCTATGAAGCAACACATTTCCATTTCAATTAAAAATTACAGTGAAACTAAAATAACATATTTTTAAAATAATTTTACTACAAAGAAATCAAAATAAAAATAATCTTTAATGTCAATTATTAAATTCCGAACATCAAACACTAATGTCTTCCCCTCAACAGTCCTCTCCTTTTCCCGTTCTGTCTCATATTTAATAGTATTACCCACTCAACGTGCAAACTAGCAAATTCACAGTTGTCCTCAGTGCTTTAATTGCTTCCCTTTCCTTCGCAAAGTACACTCACTGGTAATAACAATCACTTGATAAATGCTAAATTCCTTCATTTTCTATCCTAGGAAACTGGTAATAAAATGAAGGAGGAGCAAATATAAGCATAATTAGAGTCTGCTGCAGGTTCAATATAGTTGATTCATTTATTCATACATCTATTAAGTACTAAATAAAGGACAGAAAGGAGGCAAGAACAGATCCCAGGTTGTTAAGCCTGGGGAGAGTGCTGAAAATGGATAGTACCAGTGACAGAAATATAGTTATGGAGGAAATATGATGACTTGATGTTACACTTGTCCAATCTGAAATCGAAGCTAGAAATGCAATCAGAAGTATCCTAAAAGTAGGTGGATTTATAAAACAAAGTTCAAAGGATGGTAAGATCAGAGATGCAGATATGAAAACTACTAAGTAAGACAGATAATATTAAGACAGAAACAATAAGAATGTTAACATCATAAATTATGTATTGTAACCTTCAATTTTTACTTTAAAAATCATATATGTAGGTGGTAAAACTATGGAGAATTTATTTCCTCCATTTTACTCAAGCTATATTTCTAAAAAGTTTCATCAGAGTACATATTTTATTTTTCAATTTCAAATAAGGTTTATAGTCTAATAATGGTTTCTAAATTACCAGTTCAGTCTTCAGATCTTGAATTACAGTCGCCTCTTTATTTAATTGTTCTGTCAGATGTGTCACTTTTTGTTCAGCAGCTTCTCGAAGACTCTTTTCTTCATCATATTTTGACTTTATATCTAATTAATTAGGATAGTTATATAAATATTAGTTTCATGATATTAACTTTAGAGAAGAACAGTTTTATAAATTATATTCCAATACATATCTATATCTATATATATATCACTCTAATTCAAACTCACATTCCTTAGATAACTATAAATATATACAATAAAATTGTGCTTCTAATTACATTAAATGATAAATTTAAAATGATCAAATGTCTTTGTCTACATAAATTCCACACAACACTAAATTACTAATTAGCATTTTTTTTACATTTTTTATTGATTCATAATCATTTTACAGTGTTGTGTCAAATTCCAGTTTTCAGCACAATTTTTCAGTCATCTAATTAGCATTTTAACGTATACTTAATCATACATAATATTTTACCCAAAAGCATGTAGTTGAAAAAATCATATGTAATTGATAGCATAAACAAATACTCTCTGTATTATTTAAATTCTTCAAAATGTTACTTGTTAATCTTTAAGCATACCCCAAAAGAAAATTCATCTTCTGTAAAGTGAGTTTTGAAGGGCGGAGATGAGAGGACAAATGAAATAATTTATAGAGCACTCTTATCATTATAGCAACTCTCTTACCATTAAATTCCACTAATCATCACCATATTAAGTCTAACAAATGCTTTATCACACTAAAATACGATGTTTATTTCTCAAACATACAATGGCAAAAAGGTAATGAGACTGATTCATAGGCTAAAAAAAATTGATTCATTTTACCTGCAATTTCAGTGGCAAGTTGGGCTGCTTTCTGTTCAAATAAGTCTTTCATTTGCTTAATATTAAAATTTTCTGTTTGAGCTTCTTCTAATTGTCGTTCCAAAGACTGTAGTTCTACAAAAAAGTACAGTAGCTATTCAAACACAATATTAATTACATTTCCTAAATTGTTATTACTTATATTTTAATCATTGTAGTAATTAAAGACAATCAACATTGGAGTCTACTATCCAATTACAAGCAGAGTATCTTCATATTTCAAGAATTAAGCATACGTTTCATTTAAGGTCAAAGTCATAATTTACAAAACATATAAAACAAATGAAAGGAATATTCAGCATCACACCCAAATAACATAAATATTTGTTTAAAGATTATTTTGATTTCATATTTCAGTTATTGTCCTCAATCTGTCAACTGACCAAAAAGGAATACAATCTCTCCTCTGATAAAATGTACTATAATATGAAATGTAATTAGAAATGTTTTAAGAACAATCAAGGCCTTATGTAAAATAATCAACTAAAATAGGCAGTAAACTTCTAATATTTCATTCTATCAAAGAAAAGAGATCTCAGAGGGACATTAAATACAACAGCTAACCTCAAAATATAATTTTGATTAATTCATTGAGCATTTCTCCAGTTAAAGTCCATTACAAAGATGCTAGTTTCATCTTTCCTTCATTTTAAGAGAAAAAGAGTGCATTGCTCTTTAATATAGATTTAAATTTTCACTAAACCACCATATTAATGTAATATTCCAGAAGTTTGTTTATAACTTCAGAATATAATGATCTCTAAGGAGACACTAAGATTTTTGTTAACTGATTAAATTATGAAGTTCACAGGCAACAAACATGCTGCTCAGCCTAGAATATGACTGTTAATCTTCACTGTTTTAGAGCCATAAAGTATCCACAAAACAAAATTCATGTAGCAGGCATCAGAGAAAAAGAAATAAAAAAGAATGAGAAAGACGAAAAATAAAAATGGACAAAACAATAGCTTCAAGTAAAGTTACCTGCTGGTGAATCAGCTACTAATCCATCAGGTTTAGACTCCTCAATGAAAACAAAAGACAAATGCATTAAAAGGAAAAGACAATACTGTTACAATTGCCAATGTGAAAAAAAAAATTTCTGAAAGCCACAATCTGTCAGGTAAGTAGCAAGATTTTGATGACAATTAAATTTTGGCCTGCTTACATTCTTCAAGATCACTAAGGTAACACTAAGCAGACTGGCATAATGATCTAAATACAGCTCAGTTCCTCTAAGGCTTTTTGTATGTTAACATATTATTAGATTTTTAGGTCTTGCAATAGATGGCATCTTAAATTCCATAAATCCAGTACCAAATAAATAATATAAATTATTACAATTATAAATATAGATTCTAAAGCAAATACTTAAGTTAGCAGGTAAGATTCAGTCCTATAATATTTGAAAATTTTCGTAAGCTAAAATAGGACATGAAGCAATCACTACTAAAAAATGGCTTTAAAAACATAAATTTTTAATTCAGGATCATAAACTGTCTTTAAAAGAAGCAGAAATAAAGAATATATTTCATAAGATTTAATTTACCACATGTATTAGGAATAAAATAATATACCACCTGGTCATTATTTCCATATTCTAAAAATTATATATATCTAAAAGAGTTTAATAAGGCTTCTCACAGTGTATCTGACTTTTTATTTTCCTACACATTGATTTAAGCATATTGACTATTAATAATCATCAATATTTAAAATACACTTTCCCCAATGGTAAATTTCTTATTAAGGCAATTGCACTGTAGAAGATGTATTTAATGTATTAAATGTAAAACAGTTATCTCAAATGTGAAAACAATTTCCTCTGTGTTTTCAGGTACAGAAAACAATATAGCCCATTTCTGATTGCTGATAACATCTACATAAAACATAAGTAAACTATAAGTATTTTAGATTACTAAAAACCTCTTTAATGTAACCTCAATTACAGAAGCTGAATAGTAATAAGACTGAAATCTTCTTATCCATTTATTTGTTTTTCTTCTCTAGTCCAAATGACAATTTTCGATGAAAAGATAAAAAAGGCAAAAAGACTAAGAGTCACAATGTGCTAAGATAATGTGCAAAAGGATTATTAATTCCTTTATAAAAATATTAAAGTTACTGTTAAAGGGTATCCACTTTATTCTTATAAATGAAAACTATATATGCATTAGGTAAAATTATTCTAGGATTCTTTATGTAATTTTCGTATAAAAGTCAAGATAATTTTAGTGTAAAACTCGTAATTGGATTAAGACATTTCCTTAGAAAATATATTAAACTATAAAGACTATGAAAAAAATATACATATCTATCTATATATATATATAGAATCTAGGATATCAAACAAAATCACTAAAAATAACCACTTCTGATACCACAGTGACTTTTCTTTTCCTCATGTATGTTTCTTATGTAAAGTTGTATAGCATATGTCTGTGTGTGTACAAGGACACATAAAAACTTTTAGAGTTTTTTAAAATCTAACATTAATACAAGAGTTTTCCCATGCTTTCAAACGACCTCCACTAATATAAACTATCCACAGTTAATAGTTGTTTCCCTACTAACAGACATTTTAGTAATTTCCAATTTGTCACAAATTCTTTGAAGAGTTTCACTGTTGTTTGAACTTATTTATACTTTTTAACCATTTAGATATATTGTCAGAAAATTAGAATGTAGCCTGATATATAAAAAAAAAAAAAACACATAGGTAAATGATTCTTAGTGGAACACCTTTAAAGAGTTATATCTTAGATTCCCATATTTTGGTTATATTCATTTGCATTCATTAATATTAAAACAGATATACATGCAGGATATTAAACACATAGAAACAAATTAGGAAGTTATTCATATCAGGCCACCTGTTTACAAAAAAATATTATGCTTGATTTTCAACAATGAAAATAAACAACTAAAAACACACTTCAAGTATTTAAAAGCAATTACTTGCTGCTGTAGCCCTTGAAACTTTTCTAATTCTTTCTTTAATTCTTCTGAGTACCATTTTTCTTCCTAAAGGAAAAAAAATGCCTTTTAATTAGTAAATTTTAAGACTTTTTTATGTGAAACATTGAAAATAAACATGTAAAATCATTTTTATTCTTACCTTAAGTGAAGCTTGTAGGTCTTGGACCTCTTGTCTAAGTAGTGTTATGTCATCTCTAAACATACATTGGGAAAAACAGGAATTAATAGTTAATGTTCTTCAACAAGTCACGGCTAGTGATTGTATATTAGTATTCTAGTTTTCTCAATTCTTAAAAAAACTACTGTACATTTTATGTATAGTGGAATATACATATAAATCCCTTATGAGAATAATTGTATTCCTAGAGTATGTTATTTATAAATGGAAAAATATTTTATCATGGAAATGATAAAACTGTCAAATGCCTGAGCCAGAAACAAAATATCATTAATTTACCAGCAATAAGTATCAATGGCTTCCTATTGCAGTTAGTATAAAATCTAAACTCACTAATAAGGACTATAAAATCTGAACAATCTAGTCCCTGTCTTACCACTCTCCCCCTCACTCATCTAGCTCCAGCATTACTGGCTTCTTTCTGTTCTTTGAGTCTGAAATGCTATTTCCTGGCAAAACTTCACATTTTGTTCCCTTCATCTAAGAGTCAGTCTGATACAGAATAGTGAGAGACCACCCGAAGTCCTATTGCAGGAGAGATTCCATGAGAAAACACATTTGGGATTATTATTCGGGGTATAAGAAACATGTATCTTCCCCTGTTGGATTGTAAACAGCAGATAAAGAGACCCTCCTTGCTCCATGCCACTGCAATGCTGCCATGGTAGAAGACACAATAACTGAACTGAGTAGACTGAAAATACTCAAATGAATTCATTCCAGTACAAAAGGAATAGGAGAACAGGATCAGTTCTAATGATGGGGAAGACCAAGTCCACTCCAGCACGAGCATATGAGAAAGGTAAAAGATAACAGGACAATACTGGTGGGAGAATTATTCTCTAGGATAGGGGTGGGGGTAGAGAGTAAAGGGACAGAATCAGCTTCATCTGTGAAACATGGTTAATGATAGGAAAGGAAGGAAACTGCCAACAAAGAAAAATGTAAAAGATGGAGAAATGAGTCCTCTATTTTTTGTACTCATTCATAAGTAAAGAATTAACTCATTGTTCCACAGAATTTGTCTACTCCAGACTCTCAAGCTGTTCAGTTTAACGGGGGAAGTAAACATGTAAACAAGTAAAAGCAACAGACTATCATCAGTTCTATGACAGAAATAAAAGCAGAGTTATAAAGACAATGATCACTTCTACCTAAAAGCACTTCATGATGGAGACAAACTCTGAGGTAAAGTCTTTAATCTCTGAATACAGAAGTAAAATTAGATAATAGATTCCTGTGTCTTTTGTTGACTCTTACAATTTATCTTTATCTGACACTTTCACTAATTTTCATTTCTCTATTGTGTGTGTGTGTGTGTGTGTGTGCGCGCGCGCGCGTGCGTCCCCATCCCTCCCTCTCTCCCAAGTGGCCCTATGAACATATCTATTTGTAGAGACCACAAGCCAACTGGAGAAGACTTAGTCTTTACATGCATATGGACAATTCTGGGTGTGTTTTAAGTTTTCCCTACTCTTTATACATGGAGTTGGAAGATTAATAAACTAAAATGATGAAGAGAGGAATTAATAACAATATACTTGAATGGCTCATATTAAACTGAATCAAATTGCAAGGAAGATAATCCAATTCAGTTTCTAATTGGGTGAACTTAGTTATTCCAATTAATCTTTTAAAAAGTGCCACTTCAACAAATTTGTGAGAGTAATTTCCCTATCAGTGTTTAGAAGGAAATATAATGAACTCTGTTTTCAAAATGTCAACAGTGAGATGTTCCTTTGGAACATCAAAAGATACCTAGTAGACAACTTGGGAGATAATTCTAGGTTGGAAATGTAGTTTAGGAGGAAGTCATAGATGTAGATATCATCACACATATAGAGGAAGAGGAATACATTAAACAGATCAAAAAAGAATGATAACAATGGTATGTTGTCTCAAAAGAGCAGAACAAAAGACAGCCAGTAAACCAAATTTGCAGAGACTGTGACATATGGTCTACAAAGATGGCTGCCATCAAGTTCTTCCCTTCTTATATGTAAAAGCCACCCCTTCACTGAAAGACAGTTTACTTCTTGGACTCTTGAATCTTAACTGGCGTTGAGCAGTCTTGTGGCTACTTTAACCAATAGAATAGGGCAGAAATGACATTCTGACACTTTTGAATCCAAACCTTAAGAAGACTGACAGCTTCTGCTCCTTTCCTCTTGGAATGCTCTTTATTAGGACCTAACTGCTATCCTGTGGGCAAGTCCAAGCAGCCACATACACAGGCCCATATAAAGGAGAACTGAGCCCCCTGACATATAGCCCCAGCTGAGCTGCCAGCCAGTACCCAGTTATATCCCCCGGCCATGAATGTGAGGCCATTTTGGCCCTTCTGGCCTTTTCAAAACCCAAGTCTATGTAACTTAAAGCAGAACCACCCAGTCAAATCAAAGACTCATGAGAAGTAATACACTCTTAATGTTTTAAACCACTAGGTTTTGAGTGGATTGTTACACAGTAATACGTAACCAAAACAAAGGTCTACTAAGATAAAAACTGAAAATAATCCTTTTTTTTTTTTTAACTGTTGGGCTTTGAGGGAATAGTTTCAGGAGCATGGCTGGGCAGAAACCAGGTTTCAGTGAGCTAAACATTGGATGAAAAGTTAAGGGTAGACTGAATGAAAATTCACGTACTAGGCACTAATTCATAGATGAAAAAGCAGCTCTGTTAAATTGACACTAAATATAAAGGCATTTATACATGATTTAATATAAATATATATTTTATATCTATTTCCTAACAAATGACAAAAGAATGGTACCAAAATTATTAACTCATACATAAAAATCTTAAAGAGCATTAATAGTCATATGAAAAGGAAAGATTCACACAACCCAAAAGCACTGGTTTTCCCACATATTTTAATAAATTAAAACAACCATATTTTATAGTTCTTTATTATCTATCAACCATAATGTGGTCATAACCAACTATGAGGCATTTTTTAAAGAAAAACATGAAACAAATTTTTTACAAGTAGAGTAAAATCAAGATTTCTCCCTTAGTGGGAATATAAGATAAAGAGTTTTCACCAATAGCAGAAGAAAAGAAAAGTTATATTGTTGAATGCCTTTCTAAGTAATTATATTTTAGCTTGATTTAATTTTAAAATGGTCAGACAAAATTGCCAAGAAGCAGAATGTGTATGTGTGCTTGTTATTATATTGGTGATTACAAAAGAAATTTTTTAAAAATAATTATTAAATTTAACTCTTGGCTAAATTAATTATTTTAATAACTTACTATGAAATCTTCTAAATAAAGTATATCATTTTTTTATTAAGCAGAGTATGCTAAATATAATTTATCCTTTTGATAAATCACAACCTTCTTTCAAAACATAACCTCTGAACCAAGTTGTAGATGCTGATATAGTTATTGGTCAAGGATAGAATAAGTTATAACAATAAAGGACGAAGAAAAAAAAACAATAAAGGAGGAAGCCACAATAAATGAAGACAGATTTAAATTAAATAATATAAAAACACTACTATTTTCAAAAACTAAGTATTCACAATTAAACAATGGTATCACACACATTCACTACATTACACTTGTGGCTACTTTAACCAACAGAATAGGGCAGAAATGACATTCTGACACTTTTGAAACTATTATACTATACCGCTTCAGAGCAAGAGCTTCTCCTCCATGACTTGAATCATTACCAGCATCATGAACTGCCTCATAGTGTTTGAAAAGTTCATCAGCAGATCCAAGAGATTTCATACACTGGGGACATATGAAACCCTAAGAAAGATACAGAAAAAGGTTTCAAAACAGTATTTTAGTATTGCAAAATCACCATTTGTATGTTATGAAATATAGTCAAATGTATTATTCATACCAATGGTACCATTAAGTAAACTCTAATTTATGGTGTTAAGTCCAAATTCTGGTATTGTGCAAAGGTACATTACTGCTTATCCTGGATGCAGTTTACAAGATACAAAGAAAACCCTTACAACCTTCTTTTAGGTTGAGTAAATTAATGGTAAGAGAATTTTATCCTGAAAAGTCAATTCTAATCTAGAAGTCTAGTTGAGAAGATTTGCCTTCATATCCTCCATCTCTCTAGATAATCCTCTTTGTAAATAATACCTGCTCCAATCTACTTCAAAGGAATGATAACCAAAAAATTAAGAACATGAAGTACTCTGATCACTGAGAAAAAGGTAATGTAAATAACTCATAATTACCACAGAGTTATCTACAATTGTTGGGAAGTATTCTAGTCAGTAATGCTACCCGAAGAATAACATTATAAAAATTTTAAATTAACATATAGTCCTGTACTGCTCTTCTAAGAACTTGTGGTTCCTCCATACCCCATTTATACTTCTGTAATTTGTCTCTTCAAAAATTAAGTTTCTTGAATTACCTTAAAATATATATACACACACACACACACACACACACATATATATATAGTCTATATATATAGTCCTGTAAAATAATAGAAACTTACAAATAATCCCAGAATGACTATATGGTTGTGGCATACAAGGTCCATCATGTGTATTACCCCATTGACCTACCAGTCTGATGTCTGGACACCCTTCCTTACTCTATACAACATGGCTCAACTATACTGAAGTACCTATGCTTCTCTGAACACACCATGGTATCTCATATTTTTATCCTTTTGTATGTATATTGCTATTTTCCTCCAGCATTGTTATTAGTGTGTCAAGTTTCTACATTCACTGCAACACACAACACAAAAAAGATTTTAATCTATGTTTCCCTAATGGCTAGTGTAGTATTTTGAACACACCATATATTTCTATACTGTGTATTTATTTAGTGAAATATGAATAAACCCAGCAGGGAAGAATTTGGGGGGGGGGGACAGAAGAGCTTCAATAGTTTGCAGATCACAAAGCTTCCAAGGGACAGATTGAGCTAACTAATAAAAACTCTGGATACATAAAAACTAAAAAAAAATAAATAATTTGTGCTCTTTTGTTGGCTGTTACACAAGTAATATACCCTTACTTATAATTTGTGCATATTATATGGCAAAATCAAGGCTCACTGAGCATAACATTACCAGACAATGGTGTAACAAGTATATATAAAGGATTATAGGAACACAGGAGAAGAGGTATCCAACTCTGCCTGTGGTAGCAGTTAATGCTTTACAAAAAATACAGATACACATACATATTGTGTATATGTGTATATATACATATATGTAGAGATATGTATATATGAGACATTAGAATTAGGTACTAAAAAGTAAGTAGGAAAAAAAAGACTAAATAGAAGTTTACTTGTCAGAAATAAAGGTATTCTAAGCAAATGGAGGAGCATGAACAAAGATGCAGGAAATGGTATGAAATACAGTCGTGGCTGCATTTAGGAAGCAGAGGTCTGCTCTGATTATAGAGCAGGAGTGAAGGGCAGGGGCACTATAGGTGAATGAATGCAATGATCTCCAAGAAACTCCTAAAATAAGCAAAGACAGTAGTACTGAGGCTGTGCATTTGGACATCAGAATAATGCATCAGGATCCACATATATTTGATGCTCTGCTGAATTTGATGTCTTCTGAATGAATAAATGCTCCCAATCTATGTGTTAATCTAGCTGATGTTATGCTCTGTTTTTCAAAGCCACCTATTATCCACCATCATGTTTCATAACCGCTCTATATTATGCTTTATTTGGCATTCTTGTAAACTTCTGCCCAGTAACTACTGTATCACACAAGTTAACATGCTTTTGGTGCAACAGCACATAAACCCCTATAATATTTAGCTTGTGATCTCTCTTTTGTGTCTCAGCTTCTGCTAGTAACTAGAAGGCAAATTACAGTGTTCCTCAGGGAATCCACACCCCAGTTACACTATTTAATCTTCACAACTTTGGCTTCTAGACTATTGTCTCTACTTCCAGGTTTTGGCTTTAGATACCTAAGTATGCCAAAAAGCTAGTGATCACATTAAGGTATGCCATACCTTCTTAAAGCTTCTAAATATTACCAGATTAATATTCCAGAATGAACTGATTCATCCCTAAAGAGAAATTTTAGAAATTCAGTAATAAATATTTAGTTATAGAAATATCCCACCTAAGTAAATTTTCCATGTGATTAGAGCTTTCATGGATGTTTAAATAAAACTTCAGTTTGGGGACATTTCCGATAAAAATAAATCTTCCTAAAATACACATATGCACTTTCTCACCTTCTTAAATAGATGATATTAAACCTTTGCTTAATGTCTAAGCAGCATAAATATTAATCACTGAATGAGTATCTTCCACTCTGTTAATTCTGGCAAGCATCTTTAATTCCTGTACCCACATTTCAGTTTTTTCTAAACCCTGTTTTGTCTTTCAACAATCATTTCTAAAAATTATTCACATGCTATTTCTAGCAATGCTAGCCTGATATGGATGAGAAGGGTATACTGGGGCGGGGGAGTCTATTAAAACTATATCACTCATTTAAAATAAAATTAGCTCAGAATGAATATCTGAGAGATGTCCCATGAATGGGACTTTGTGATACTAATTCTGGATATTAAGAGATTCCTCTATTTTTTCTAAAATATTGTCAAGGGGACTGAAGTTGCTAGATAAGTAACTCCCAAACAGCATAAAACACCAAATAATAAAATACTCAAAACAGCTAGCTACATTTATTTCCCTTAATCATTCCAAAGTTCTCACCAACTTACACACACACACACAGGTTAAAAGCAATTAAATACCTTACTCTTAGCTTTCAGTTATCTGCAATCCTTTCTCAGATCCACTGTAGCTAAGAGCTTATCTTAACTTGATACTAATGATACCCTGTTGTACCAAGTATCCTTTCAGGTAAAAGGAAAGTTCTTATTAAGTGACAGGGAGAAATGGTTGTTACTTTTGATTCTGGCTAGCCCATAAAGCAAAGCTGACCCATATGTTCTGGAAGAAAGACAACTGGTAAAATGCTAAGCAGAGTTCCAAGACTTTTATGCCTCTATCTTTGTTCGCACTGCTTCAGCTAGTTTAACTGGTATCCTCCCACAGGCACCCATTTCCCCATCACCCTAGAGAATGTCTGGTTTAAGTGTTCCCCACCAAAGTTTTTCTGCAGTTTTCCTTAAGTTGAATTAGACATTGTACTCTTTTTGCAAATATGTATCATAGAAACTTCCTGGCATAGAGATCATATCTTATTTACCTTTTTTTATCCCCTTTATCTACCAAAATACCTGGAACATAAGAGGTACTCTATTAATGTGTTAAATAAGTGGAGGTTTGGTGAGATTGTTTTCCTTATACGTCATTATCTCATAGGAAAAAGTAAGTGTGATTTTTTTGTCTTTCATGGTTAAAAAAAAAGTTTCATTCTTTTATAAAACTTATAGAAGTTTCTTAAAATCTATGCCTCTATTTGGTTATAGAATACTGTAGTCATTTTCAAAGGAAGAGACATAGCAGGATCATCTGAGAAACTGTTTCCAACCTAAAAATTGGCAACAATTCCCCTCACTGGTTCCCACTCCTAGCCTTAGATATGCATCAGCCCCACACACTACAGAGAAACATTTGGGTGACCCACTGTTCATAAGTATGCCTCATTCTTTCATTTCCATCAGGTCTGGGTAGTCAAAACAAAGGTTGAAACAGTGGTAGACCCAGGTTCTAATGCAGTGTATTTTCCCAAATAAAGACAATGACAGTTCACATGCAAAGTCGTCTTTAAGAGTAAAGCATTTATCTAAAACATTGTAATATATTCACTGATAAAACATTAACTAATAAAGATATAATTATTGAATAAAAAACTCACTTTATATTTCAAATTTCATGGCAAAATTTATGCAAAAATATTAACTTAAATGTTTATATTTGTTTACAGATTCACAAAGAATAGCCAAGCCAACTTCCCAAGAGCCTCTTTTCCTTATTGAAACTTCTTTAAAGCATGCATAATTAAGGCAATCCATATTCCCTTGTAGCATAAAAAATTAAGCAACACCAAGGCCAGGAAAAACAAAGCTATTTTGAGCAACCCATAACCAAGCTGCTAAAACAAAATATATAGGACCCACAGTAACACTGGAGTCATTAAGAAGTTCCTGTCCTCTTGTCTCATTTTCAGCGTGCACTTTCTGGTAATGCTCCGACAAATCAATAGCAGTTATACATCTTTTCATACATAATGGACAGATGAAACCCTGTGAAATAACAACTTTTAGGAGGATATACATAAAGTTATTTATGAAACAAAATATAGACAATGAAAACAGACATAACAGGAAAATAATTAGTATATCTCTTTTTAGTATATAGAAAGGAAATTTTCAAGCAGTAACTGCACGAAAGGTGAAAGACCTATCCAAAGTAGGACTTTGAAAATTAGTTTCCATCCTCATGCTACAAGTTTCCTCTGGTTCAATATTATAGTAACCAGCTGCTTCAGTTGGAATATAACTACTCTTTTTGTTTATAATACTTTGTTCTTGCTTATCTGAGAGCCATTACTGGCAAACTAGTTTTTATTTTAGATCAAGAAATGACTGGCAGTTTTACAAATACCTTTATGTAAGATAACATTCTCAACAAAAAAAGTTCTTATGATGAAAGCGATTTTTAGTCTTCACCATATTCCACTAGCCTAAGATACTATTCTTGTCCACACCCATGTGTTCCAGTAGGTAGGTTTCCAGTAGGTAACCTTTTATTCTAACTTTATGAGCCAAATAAAATCATTTAAAAACAATTTCCCAAAATCCCTATACCTAACAATATCTATATTTTAAATGTGAGATGTTACACTTTTCTTTGGTTTGGGGTTTTGTCAGACAGGAACAGTAAAAGGATAAGAGGATACAGGAATTGAGAGGATCAAGGAGAAAGTAAATTAAATGAAGACAGTGGTGAAGGACAATAGGTTATAAAGTTTATAATGTTATGGGTTTGGTGTCAAAAATAGATGTGGTTTTGAGTCACAACCAATATTGACTATATGAATTTTAAAAGTCACTTTATTTTGCTAAATATCATTTCCTCATCTATAAAATGGGGCTGATATTAGCACCTGTTCTTCTAGAGTTATTGTATAGCATATAAAATGCTTAGTACAGTGCCTGAGACATTATAAGTGATAAACAAGTATTAACTGTCATTGGATATACAGTTAGAGAGTAAAGGAAATGAAGCTAAGGAAGGCTGAGAAACTAGAAGAAAAAATAGAAATTAAAAACCTGAAATACTCAGTAAGGCCAAAGAAGTTAAGCAGTGAGGAGAGAAAAAGTTTTTGCGAGGACAAGCGGTTAAGGTAAAGAATGCAGAGATACGATTTTAACATTTCAGATGAAACTATTCTACCTGATAAGAAGATGGAAGGTACTGTCATGGGCTTGAGTAACTAGAAAAGAGGTAATAAAGATCATTAGCACTGATAACATTAAGAACTGGGAGGCTAAGATGTTCCTTGAGTCTCTAACATCACTTAGGACCATAGCAAGCAAGAAGACTGCAAACAAAGTTCCAAAGCGAGAAGCAAGGCAGGGTAGCAGTTAAAAAGTCAGTCCTGGGCTTGAAACCTGGATTCATACCACTCTTAGTAGCACGTATGACCTTCAATTTCTTCATCTTAAAGGAGGTAACAATAACACCTACTTCATATGGGGGAGTCGCATGAGAATTAAATGAAGTAATAAATGCTAAGTGCTTATCACAGCATCTGATACAAAGAAAACATTCAATAAACGTTACCTATCATTAATATCATTGTTCCTTTTGTTAACAACCCTTAAATGGGACTAGCTAGGGGATGAAAGTAAGGAACATGAATTCACTTTTTTTCTTTTTACTGATGAAAGTGCTGTCTTCCAGGCAACCACAGTCCCGAGTACTAAAACTACAGAATAATTTTTCAAAAGAATGCACTGTTGCATTTTTTACCACAATATATTTATGCTGCCTACCATTTTACTCATTTCTTCACTGTAAGCATCCGCATATCATTCAATCATTCATTCAAAAAGTATTTACTGAGTGTGATTACTAGGTCATTATGCTACCGTGCTGAGAACACAATGGTAAAATAAAATGAAGTCCCCACTCTCAATAAGCTTCCAGGTTTCTTGAAAAATTTACTAAAGAAAATAATCACATTTTACACCCCACTAATCAGAAAATCCTATTAAAACTACCTTCAAAATATATTCAGAATCTCAGGACCTTTACTGTTACCGCTTGATCCAAACCACCCTCACAGTGTACATGGATCACTGCAATAGACTTCCAACAGACTCTCTGCTTCTATCCTTACCCCACTAACAATTTTATTTTCCACAGAGCAGCTAGAGTGTATCCTACAAAAACGTAAATAGATTTTGTCGTTTCACTGCGCAAAACTCCCAAGTGACTTCCCATCTCACCAAGAGTAAAACATCTAAGTCGTTACAAAAGCCAAATGGCCCTATGAGGTGGGCCTCATTACCTCACTACCCCAGCCTCCCCTCATACTCACTGTGCTGGAGCCACACAAGCTTCCTGGCTTTTTCATCACTCCAGGCATGCTCCCACCTCAGAGACTGTCTACTTGTTCCACATGCCTGCAACATGCTTGTTCCAGAAGTTCACATGACTCGTTTCCTCAGTTCCTTTAGTTCTTTCTGAGCTATCCGCTTTCTTAGAAACATCTTCCCTGACAATCCTATTTGAAATTGCACCCACCCAAAATACTTTCTGTGCCCCCTTTCCTGCTTTTATTTTTCAAAATAACACTGCCTCCTTCTGTACAATTTTAGTGTGATTTGGGTTTTTTGCCTGTTTCTACCCACTAGAATATAGGTTTCACCAAGATAAAAACTTTTTACTATTTCACTCACTGCCATATCTTCAGCATCCAGAACAGTGTCTGGCAATAATAAATATTCGACCAAGAAATGAATCTCATAATAACAGTCATTACCAAAAGGATAAGGAATACTTTTCCATAGAAGAACATGGAAGAAGTATCCATCCTACATGTGAGCCAAGGAAAGTTTACTGTAAAAAAGTAATTATCTGTGATGAGACTTGAAGGATAACCAGATGTTTAACCAAGAAAAATGAAAAGCCAAGAACAAGTAAGGCATAGAGATCAGCATATTCAAAAGTCCAAATATAAGAAAAAACTTGGAACACCTTAAAATTAGGAGTTCATTATGTCTGGATCAAAGAACATTAAAAAAAAAACAACCCACATATATAAGGTTGACTGATTTCCCACAAAAGTAAAAATTTAATGTCATGGGGAAAGGTAACATTTTTAACAACTGGTACTGACAGGCATATGGGGGAAAAATGTGATTTCCATATTCACATGGAAAAAATGAAACTCAACCACTACCTCATACCATACATAATAATTTAAAATAAACCATAGACTTAAATGTAAATGCTAAAATGATTTTATTATCCTTCAGTCTTTTTTTCCAAAATATAGTTGATGTACAATATTATATGTTACAGGTATACAGTATGATTCACAATTTTTAAAGGTTATACTCCATTTATAGTTACTATAAAATACTGGCTACATTCCCTGTGTTGTACACTGTATCCTTGTAGCTTGGTTTTTATTTTTTTAATCAGGAGAAAGTTTTGCAGTCTTGGGGTAGGCAAAAAATTTTGTAGAACCCAAAAAGCACTAACTCTAAAAGAAAAGGATGACAAACTGCACTTCACCAAAATTTAAATCTTCTTCTCTTTGAAAGACACCATTAACAAAATGAAAAACAAGCCAGATTGTAAAAAAAATATACACATCACATATTTCTGATTGTAGTATAAGGCCTAAAATTAAGGCCCAATACTATATGCTGCCTTGACAACTGGTGAAACTGGAAGAGCTTCAATGATCTAACTACAAGCTCCCCTCCTTACTCTGCTCCAGCAGATAAGGTCCTCTAGCCCAAAAACCCTCCTCTTCACTGGGAGCAGGCACAGGGCCTGCTTAAGCCTAAGCAGCAGGTTTCAGTTTCCTACCAGTCCCTGGAATTATTCAAACAAGTCAATCACATCTCCTGTAGGATGCAGACACCTCACCTTCCTGATACTATAATGACTGCTTCTCACAGCCCCTGAGTGTTCATTTCTTCCCCAAGTGCAATCCTTGTGTGGCCCTACTTGGCACACAGTGTCCTCCTCACCTGGGCTGTGAGTATATGTGAATAATAAACTGCTGTTGATCTCACTTATCTAGTGTCAGGTTAATTATGTGTTGAGCCATCCCCATAAGTCTAGGGAGGGGCTTCCCTTAGCAATGGAGTGAATAGGAGGCAATCAAAACACTGACAAAGGACTTGTACTCAGAATAGATAAAGTCGTCTTACAATTCATTAATAAAAAGATAATTCAGTTTTTTAAATGGTCAGATTTCCAGTTCCAGAAAAAATGGAATAGATACCCTTCTTTATTCTTCCAGCTAAACACAGCTAAAATCCCTAGGCATTATATATAAAACAAACATAAGACAATTTTGAAAGATAAAGAGAGAAACGCAGATCAGCTAAGGAGCTCAGAAGCCAAGGACTGAGACAGTGGTGAGTACTCTGCATTTTCTTTTTGCGTCATATATTCTAAACTAGGTGCTAGAGAAGCCAGCAATCTGGAAACTTCAGTGGACCCTTACCACTTACCATTGGACAGCACCACAAGAAAAGGCTGCTCTCCCTAGCCAAAGGAGCAGAAAAATGAAGATTGGATTTGGTAATATGGTGGTAATTAGTGAGTGCTTTCAGTGAATACTAAGGATGGAAACCAGACTGGAAAGGGTTAAAGAGTAAATAAAGACATTTGCTTCTGCAATGTGATACACTAAATAGTCTGAACAACTGCCCTGACAAGAACAACTGACATAAAAAATCACTTATTACATTATATATTATATGTATTATATATTTGTTACAGACTGAATGTTTGTCTACCCTCAAAATTCATTTGTTGAAATATTAATCCCCAATGTGATGGTACTAGGAGATGGGATCTTTGGAAGATAATTCAGTCATTAGGGTAGAGCCATCATGAATGAGATTAGTACCCTTAAAAAAGAGACCCCAGAGAGCTCTCAAACCCCTTCTACCATGTGAGGACTGCCATCTATAAACCAAGAAGCAAGCCTCCATCAGACAAAGAATCTGCCAGATCTTTGATCTTGAACATCCCAGTCTCTAGAACTGTGAGAAATAAATGTTTATTGTTTAAGCTACTCAGTGCTTTTGTTATAATAGCCTGTACTAAGATACTGTTATATATATTATTATACATAATAATATATAAAATGTGACAAAAATGAGCACTAAAGAAAGGTATTGCTTTATTTCTATTTCTTTAAAATCCTGGAAGCCACATTTCAAATTTCATTTAGATGGCTGCTAAAGGAACAATGTTAAAACCTAGAGTTTGTTCAAAGTGGGAAGCCAACTTCAGAGTAAAAGGGAAATAACCTGAGAGAAAGATTAAGAGAAAAAGAGACTGGGGGGGGGGGGGGCAGAGAGACATCGACCAACATCTTAAACAAGTCTGTACCTTAGCATGGGCTAAGGGGAAAAACAACATCTCCTGAGAATTCATAATCACCAATAACCCTTGGGTGCGTAGTTGGATTTTACACTAGTGAGTAATCTGAAGAATTTCAAGCACCAAACTTAATTTAAGGGAGTCTCAGGTTAATGGCACCTCTAAAGCAGTATTTATACACTGATGGGAGTAATTTGTGGCACGGGTAAAAATCAAAATCGTAGGAGGGAAAGATGATAAGCTGAGAATATGAGAGAGAATGGAATCCAGAGCAAAAGCAAAGTGACTAAAGTCTGATAGGAAAAGAGACCTGTCTTTCACATACAAAAGAAAGAAAAAGAACAGAGGTGCAAGTATAGCTTTAGTGACAAAATCAGCACATTCATCTAATGGTTCCTATTTTCTCAATGATATAGAGAGTGACTAAAGGAAGGTGAGAATAAGGTAAGACATACGGAAGATTTAAGGATAACAAAGAGAGTACGGCTATCACAGACAACAGAAAAGGGACCCTGATAAGAAAGCACAGCAGGATTACCAGCCACTGCTCACTATCTTTTGGAGATTCTTTGTTGTTTTTGGTCTGAATGAGGTCAACAATTACTACTAAATTCCTTTCCAGGGTTACAACTGAGCACTCTGAGCTCATCACATCATGAACACAGTTTGGAATGTTTTCTTTAAATATATTTCCTTAAACTTGCTCATAATATAAAGTTCAACTGATACTTTCCTTCTCACTTTCACAGTCTTGTTAGATCTTATTACAGTTAATACACATATACATGAAGACAGATGGCCAGAAAGAGACAAAACAGAAAGATGAATGGATAGAGACATACCCAGAAACAAACACAAAAATAGACTTACCAACCAAGAGGTGGGGAAGAGTAGAGAAAAGGGGACTGGGTAGACAGTACAGTTAGATTCAGAAAGGGACAATTGACAAAAACTGTCAGAGCAGAAACACAAGTGTGTCAATCTCTTAGGGGCAGTATTATGGGTGGTTTTTATGTTCTTCTCTCATCTTACTTCCTTTTTCTGTACTGATCATATATTGTTTGTTAAAACTAATAATAACAATAAAGCAACTACTAAGGCTGACTTTTGTAAAAATGAGGTTTTTTTTAGACTTATTTACTTTATCCATTAATTTTCAATAAGTTATCAAAGATAAAAGTTCTTACAAAGTCATAAATGAAGACAACAAATAATGTATAAACTTTATAGCTAATCTAATCTTTCATAGCTTAGTAGTTCATGACAGTACAAACATAATTAGATACTAATCAACTGTAAATCTTCAGAGATTTAAAAATCTTCATTAAGTTGAGATGACATTAACATTAAAGACAAATTGGTACTACTATTTTTCGGTCTTAATATACACTTTCTCAGTCTCAACTAAGCACAAATAGCTATCCATAAATATGATTCAAAAGGTGCTTACCAATTTGTAAGAAAGATTTCTGAGAACTTTTTCTACAAAAGTTTAAATTACCAGTTGTTACTTGAAATATTTGCTATTTTTCCTTAAATATTGAATTTCATTGTAAAATTTTATTTTCATACCTCTGAAGAGCTTTCATTAGTGACATCCACAGTGTTTATAGGAGCTGCTGATGAATCTAAATCAGAACCTTGAGAGCCAACTCTCCCAGGAGTCTGAAACACAAGCAGAAGGGGGAAAATCAAATTAAATATTAACAATATATTCATAAACTATTTAATAACCTAAACAGTAATCAAGGCTAGCCTTACACATAAAAGTAGACATCCTCTCAATAATAACAAACAGCGGTAGAAGCTCTCCTTTACTGGAGACCGACTGGACCTAATATTTTATCAAGATCTCTACCTGGATTCTCTCAGTTTTAGTTTTTTTTGAAACTAATAAAGTTTATTTTTGTATATCGTGCTTTATCATCCTCATCTCACTTTCACAGAATATCTTATTTAATCACAATGACATCTCTGAGAGAGGCAGGGATAATGTTCTCTCTATAGGTAAGAAAAGAGAGAAAACAGACATCACAAAGCAGCTAAAAGATTTCTCAAAATTGTACTGTTAAAAAAAAAAAAGGAAGCAGAACCAAAATGCTAAAATTTTAATTCCTCTTGCATTGCTCTCTACTACACCAACTAAACTACAATAATTTGAGGGGAGCTAAAAAGATCAACACACCACACATTATCTAGTCACCCATCCATCTACCACCATACTAACCATTACCAATCTATCTCCAATACTTAATATTCCATTGTCAGAGACAGTTTGGAGGGTTCAAGACGATAGTGTAAAAAGATCCTGAACGAACCTCCACCCACAGACACAACAAATATACACTTACCTATGGAATAGTTCTCCCAGAAAGGGACCTGGAAACTGAATGAACAGAACCTCCACAGCAAAGGGTAAAAGGACAGCAATGAGATGGATAGGAGAGGCAAAGTCACAAAACCAAAACTACAGCAAGCCACAATTGGGAGGGATCACAAAGGAATAGATCTTTCCCCTGAGAAGCAAGGGATTTAAGCATCACATTAAGCACCCCAACGCCTACACCCTGCACAGGAGATGAGAACCAAAACACCTGGGTTTGAAAACCAATGGAGAATATGCCTGGGAAAACTAAAAAACTATAGGGAATAGAAAATCTGCTCTTAAAGGACTTGCACACAGACTCACTTGACCTGAAAACCAGTGCAAAAACACCAAGCTGAAAAGTGCATGAACAATGGGTAAAGGGGACTCACCTACTAGCCTTGAAGCATCTGGTGGAGGGGCAGGAACCAGTTGGCACACCCCCAGGGACTGAGTCACTGGCAGGAGCCATTTATGTGATCTCAGGCTACCTTGCTAATACCAGTGCTGGCTGGCACCATTTTGGAATTCTCCATCCAACCTGTTAGCGCCAATGGTCACACCCCTACTGAAGCTAGCATTAACCTGATACCTAAATCAGACCAAAAAAGAAAATTACAGGCCAATTTCTTTGATGAACATAGATGCAAAAATCTTCAACAAAATATTAGCAAACTGAATCTAACAATACATTAAAAGGAGCATGCACTATAATCAAGTAGGATTTATTCCAAGATGCAAAGATCATTCAACATCCACAAAGCAATCAACATGATACATATTAATAAAACAAAGGATAAAAATTATACGGTTATCTCAATAGATGCAGAAAAAGCATTTAACAAAATTCAACATCCATCTATGACAAAAACTCTCAACAAAGTAGGTACAGAGGAAACATACCTCAACATAATAAAGGCCATATATGACAGATCCACAGCTAATATCACACTCAGCAGTGAAAAGCTGAAAGTATTTCCTCTAAGATCAGGAAATAAGACAAGGATACCCACTATAGACACTTTTATTTAACATGCCATTGGAAATCCTAGCCAAAGCAATTAGGCAAAGTAAAATTTAATTTAATTTAATTTAATTTAATAAAAAATAAAATAAGGAAAGAAAAAAGCATCCAAATCTGAAAAATAGAAGTAAAACCACCACTATTTTTGCAGATGACATGATACTATATATAGAGGACCAGAAAGACTACACACGCATACACACAGTTAGCACTAATAAATGAATTCAGTGAAGTCACAGGATATAAACTCAACATACAGAAATCTGTAGCATTTCTACACCAATAGCAAATATCACAAAGAGAAACCAACAAAACAACCCCAGTTACAATTACATCAAAAAGAATAAAATATCTAAGAATAAATTTAACCAAAGAGATAAAAGACCTGTACAGTGAAAAACCGAAAGACAATGATGAATGAAATTGAAGAAGATACAAATGGAAAGATATTCCACAGTCACTGACTGGAAGAATTAATATTCTTAAATTGTCCATACTTCCCACAGCAATCTACAGGTTCAATGCAATCCCTATTGAAGTTCTAACGGCATATTTCACAGAACTAGAATAATTCTAAAATTTATATGGAACCATGAAAGACCCCAAATAGTCAAAATAATATTAAGAAGAAAACAATGGAGGTGTCATGCTCCCTGATTTCAAACAATACTATGAAGCTACAGTAATCAAAACAGTGTGGCACTGGCACAAAAACAGACACACAGGTCAATGAAACAGAACTGAGAGCCCAGCAATGTAAACCCACACATATGTAGACAGCCACGTGCAAAAGAATGAAACAACTCAAAATGGATTAAAGATTTGAATGTAAAACCTGAAACCATGAAATTTTTAGAAGAAAACATGGGCAGTAACTTCACTGACATCAGTTTCTGTGGATCTGACTCCAAAGGTAAGGGAAATAAAAGCAAAAATACACAAATGGGACTGTATCAAACTAAAAATCTTCTGTACAGCAAAGGAAACTATCATCAAAACAAAAAGGCAATCTACTGAATGGAAGAAGGTATCGACAAATTATATACTCGATAAGGGGTTATTATCCAAATATACAAAGAACTCACAACTCAACAACCAAAAAACAAACAACTCAATTAAAAAATGAGCAGAGGAAAAAAAAATGAGCAGAGGATCTGAACAGACATGTTTCCAAAGACATTTGCCAACAGGCACAAGAAAGGATGTTCAATATCACTAATTATTAGAGGAATGGAAATCAAAACCATAATGAGATATCACCTCACACCTGTCAGAAAAGACAAGAAATAACAAATGTTGGAAAGGGTGTGGAGAAAAAGGAACCCTGAAAACTGGTGATTCAACTATGAACTGGTGTAGCCACTATGAAAAAAAAAGTATGGAGAGTCCTCAAAAATTAAGAATGGAACTACCATATGACCGGCTATTCCATTTCTGGGTATTTATCCGAAAAATACAAAAACACTAATTCATAAAGATATATGCAGCCCTATGTTCATTACAGCATTACTTACAATGGCCATGATATGAAAACAACCTAAGCGTCCATCAATGGATGAATGGATACAGAAGATGTGATAAACACACACACACACCAGACTACTACTCAGCCATAAAAAATGAAATTCTGCAGTATTTGCAATAACATGGATGGACCTTGAAGCATGATGGACTATGCTAAATGAAATAAGTCAGATGGAGAAAGACAAATACTACATGATTTCACTCATATGTGAAACCTGAAAAAAACAAACTCACAGATACAGAGAACAGATGAGTAGTTACAAGAGGTAAAGAGGGTTGGGAAAATAGGTAAAGAGGGTCAACTGTATGGTGATTGACAGCAACTAGACCTGGGGTGGTGATCACTTTGTAATAAACACAGATGTCAAATTATAAAGCTGCACACCTGAAACTTATATAATTTTAAGTGGACTATCTTCAAAACAAAGAATAGGTTAACAAAATTGTAACAAACACACTCAACAAACCTGACAATTAAAAGTGCCAAGAGTGAAGGTTGTGGAGAAAAATTATTAACAAATGTGATATGAAGTTGAATTTGTACAAGAGGTAAAAAGTACAAAATTTGCATGTATTATGACTTCAATTATGTAAAGACATAAAACAGAGATCGAAAGGTCATAGGAGACTGATGCATTTTATGTTAGGGTTATTTTTGTTGTTGTTACTATTTTTTCCCTATGTTATTGAAAGGATGAGATTTGTGTTAATGATTTTGTTAACCACCCACCTACCTCCTCCCAAAAATTTTTATTAGCATGGTCATATTATTCTAATTTTCAGACTTTTTTACATGTAAAAAAATTGGGGCTTGCAAAAAGATCTAGATGATTATATTTATCCAACACCTATCATTATTCCTTAGAGGCCTCCACCAAACAGATCAAAATTTGAAAATATAAGGAAGAAAGTTTATATCATATGAGGAAAAAAATGTATATGGTATTCAAAGTATTTACTTCAACCAAATAAGAACAGGTGCTTGCTATATATTTGGCTACCCTACGTTGTTGATAATATAAAAATACATTCCTACTACCAACAACTATAAGATCAACATAAAGTAGTATTAATATCTGCAAAAACTGCTTTCAAAGAATTACATGCAAGTTTTTGAAGAAAAAACAGTACTTCACAGGGGGGGAAAAGTTATCATTGTTTACTGTATGCAATACCTTGAAAGGAAGTACCACTATCATACAAGTTTTAACAACATGAAATTTCTTTGAAATGCATATTTGATCTATTTCAGTTGATCTAAACAACTTGTGAAAATGATAACTGCACTGCTCTAATCCAAAGCAACCAATAGCTATGTCTTCTAATTGTGACTGAAAATCTGATAGCAAAGAAGACCAGAATCAAAAAAATGCCTAGTAGCATATAAAAAAACAACTATTTTATAGATGAAGAACAGAAGTTTTTCTAATATCTGGTGATATACTGAGTCAGAGCTTTCAAACTCAACATAGTCTCCCCACCCCTACCACTATTTATGACTTTACTCCAGAGAAGATCAAGCAGGAAGAGAACAAGAATTTCACTGGAAAAATAACTCAGTTTTACAACCTAATTGCTACTGAAATAAAGAACCTCATCTTTAAATTCTACCTAGCTTCAAAGCACTAAAACTGACTAAAAGGATAACTAATCTTTGTACACAAAAAAGACATAGTAAACGCTTACTAAGCAAATAAACAACCCATAACACTCTGAAACTAGATTGGAAAAAAGACAAACAGGCAAAAGCCGAGTTAATAATAGATTAATTGCCACACACACACACACACAAAGGTGACTGGAACTAAAAAATGAATTACTACTTTTAAAAAAATATTTGAAAAAAATTCTTATAGGATACTAAACACACCTCACGCTTAGCAAAATTATTTGTGAAAATGGAAAGGATACAAGTATTAGAAATTAAATGACATATAACCTCAAAACCTTGGGGACTTAAAAGACATCTATTAGGATTTCTTATAAAATGTAACTTTCAGCACTGATTTTTGTCACACTATTTCACCCTCAGCCCACCATAAAAACCAATTAGGAAAATTTTCACAAATTCAAAAAATGTGAAAAGCCACCTACTATATGCAGACCCTAAGAAGGGTGCTTTAAATACATTACCTGATCCTTGCACTGAAAAACAATAATCGAAGATTTCTTAGGGCCCTCACTACCTCTTTACTACTATTAAGAGCTAAGACCTTACCACATTCAGATGAACTGAGAAGTATATTTGCAAATGATATTGTTTCTATGTCATGGAAAGCATTCCAGGGCTTCCCAGGGAGTTTTCATGCTCAATCTCTTAGCTTACTGGACACTATTAGGTGATCTCATTTACTCCTTTAATTTTAATTACCCCCAATGCAGACAAAAACAAAATGCTAAATCTAATCCAGATCGCTGCTGAACTTCAAATTCATATTTTCCTGTCCTGCTAAATATTTCTACCAGAGTGCCTTGGAAGCACCCCTAAGTCATTTTGTTCAAAACCAAATCCATTATCTTTTTCCACAAACCTTCTACCTGTCTGCATTCTCTATCTCAAATTACAAAAACATCACATACTCATCTTGCCTAAATCCAAAGCATTACCCTTAACTATTCTCTTCCTTAAACTTCACATCCAATCCCAAGTTAATTCAATCATCTACATTATCTGACATACATCGCAAAAACGTTCTCCTAGAACAGTCTACCCAAGCAACAGAAATAGAAGCAAGAATAAACAAATGGGACCTAATTAAACTTACAAGCTTCTGCACAGCAAAGGAAACCATAAGTAAAACAAAAAGACAACCTACGGAATGGAAGAAAATTTTTGCAAATAAAACCGACAAAGGCTTGATCTCCAGAACATATAAGCAGCTCATACGAGTTAATAAGAAAAAAACAAACAACCCAGTCCAAAAATGGGCAGAAGACCTAAACAAGCAATTCTCCAAGGAATAAATACAAATGATCAATAGGTACATGAAAAAATGCTCAATATAACTAATTATCAGGGAAATGCAAATCAAAACTACAATGAGGTATCACCTCACACCAGTCAGAATGGCCATCATTCAAAAATCC